GCAAGATTAAATCAGAGGGGGAGACAAACCATAAGACTCTTAGTTATAGGAAACAAACAGAGTTGTTGGAGGGGAGCTGGGTGGGAGGGATGGGGTAACTGGATGATGGACATTAAGGAAGGCACATGATGTAATGAGTACGGAGTATTATATAAGACTGGTGAATCGCTGACCTCTACCTCTGAGACGAATAAAACATCATATGTTAATTAATTAAATTAAAAAAATAAATTTAAAAAATAAAAATAGCTAAAACTTAAAGGGGAAAATAAGATGATTCAGGTGTCATAATGATCAGAAAATGACTTTAAAGGAGACATTATAAGTTTTTATAAGGGCAGGGGATCCCTGGGTGGCTCAGCTGTTTAGCGCCTCCCTTTGGCCCAGGGCCTGATCCTGGAGTTCGGGGATCGAGTCCGACGTCGGGCTCCCGGCATGGAGCCTGCTTCTCTCTCTCTCTCTTTCTCTCTATGTCTATTATGAATAAATAAATAAAATATTTTTAAAAATTTTTATAAGGGCTGAAGGATGCCTGGATGGCTCAGTGGTTGAGCGTCTGCCTTTGGCTCAGGTCATGATCCCTGAGTCCTGGGATCGAGTCCCACATCGGGCTCCCTGCATGGAGCCTGCCTCTCCCTCTGCCTGTGTCTCTGCCTCTCTCTCTGTGTCCCTGATGAATAAATAAATGAAATCTTTAAAAAATAAATTAATAATAAATAATAAAGATTTATTAATAAATCTTATACATTTTTATAAGGACTAAAAAGAAGATAAATCCATAATGAGTGAGCAGATATGGGATCTCAACAAAGATAGAGAAAATATTTTTAAAAACTAAATGGAAATTCTGGATCTGAAGAATAAAATAACTAAAATGAAAAATTCACAACGGACTTAATAGCAAATTGGAGGCAGTTGGAAAAAAAAGAGTCAGTGAACTTGAATATAAGTTAATGAAAATTGACCAATTTGAAGAACTGAGAGAAAAAAATTGAAGAAAAATGAACAATGTCAAATTCCAATTGGACAAAAAAAGGTGAAATTGGAGTCCTGGAAAAAGTGAGAATGGGGAGAAAAATAGCGGCTGCAAACTTGCCAAATTTTACAAATGATTCTGATGTATGAATCTGAAAACCTTAAAGAAATAAAAAAGCACATCATAAATTGCTGAATCCAAAGATAAAATCTTGAAAGCAGCCGGAGTAAAGCTACATGTGAGAGAACAATGATCTACATCTTATCTCTCATCAGAAATAACATGAGCCTAGGGGTGCCTGGATGGCTCAGTTGATTAAACATCTGACTTCAGCTCAGCTCATGATTCCCGGGGTCCTGGGATCGAGCCCCACATCGGGCTCCCTGCTCATGGAGGAGCCTGCTTTTCCCTCTGCTCATGCTCTCTCTCGCTCTTTCTCTCAAATAAATAAATCAAATCTTAAAAAAAAAAGAAATAATGGGAGCCTAGATGACAATTGAATGACTTTTTCAAATATTTATAGTTACCACATATCATTCTCTTAATTTAGTTTTAAATAAATACAACTGTGGGTTTTTATGGTAGCAATTCTTTTACAGTTCTAGATATTTTGTCATTTCCATTTCGATTCCTTCTTTACTCATAATTTTTTTAAGGAGCATTTTTTAGATAGTATGTAGAGAATTTTAAAAAATTATTTTTTTATTGAATTCTAATTTAATGTCATTGTAGTCAGGAAACACGGACTGACTTGACAGACTTTTAAATTGTTGAAATTTTCTCTCAGACATATTATTTTGGCCTATTTTTGCAAATACTCTAGATATATCTGAAAATACTTTCTCTTTTTGTTGAGTATACTATCTAGATTTTTAATTTATTGATTTTTTTATTTTAATGACTACTATATTTTTCATTTCTATGATTTCTAATGGGTTCTTTTTCATTTCATTTTTATTTGAGCATTCATTTCTTGTTTTATTTACATCTATTTTTGTCTCATAGTTTGGGGTCTTTTTTATAATCTATCATTCTGCCATATATTTCTTCATGTATCCTAAGAATATTTAAAGTCTAGCATACTAAACTACAAATTAGTCTGAAATGAATTCATATTCTGATTGTTGACTTCGAATTTTTTTGTGAACATTTCTTTATATGTTTGGAATTCTTATTTGCAGGCACAAAAAAAATTTTGTTGCCTTTTTTGTTTTTTTCTTTCCCTTTATGCTCATAGCATCCAATGGTTTTGGGATTTCCTTCCTTTGGCCATGTGCCCCAATCCACAGTCAGGTCTCATAATATGGTATTTCAGATTTTCCATTCTGCTATGTTGTCGGGAATATCACAGACCTGGTTAATGAACCAACAGGCTGCTTGGTTAAGCAAGGTTGTATTTATGTCCTCTTACCTCTTCAAGGATGTGGTTCCAAGTAAGCTGTAACCCCAGTTAGAGCTTGGTGGCTTTCCATAAGTCCCCAGTTTGAGCCATGAATCTACCTCTAGTCTGTGTCTCAAGAAGTACTTTAACTCTTTTCACTCTGTGGGAGCTATCTTCCTATTCACTCCCACCTCTTTTGGACTTAGAGCCCATTAAATCTATGCCTTAACTCAAATCGCAACCTTGTATTTTGGTCATTTTTCTGGTCTGTGAAAATGCTTGACTTGTTTTGACCTGGCTATACTTCTCTATCTTGCATCTCTCCCTCCCTCCCTCTTCCAGTTTCTCTCTCTCTCTCTCTCTCTCTCTCTCTCTCTCTCTCTCTCTCTCTCCTCTACTTCACCTATCATGCAATGTATTTGGAGCAGAGGGAAGGTATCTAAGGATGATTTACTGACATATCTTATTGGAAATTCACTTAGGCTTTTAAAGGAATTCTCTACAAGCAAAAAGAGAAGAAAAGAGTGCATTCAGCTTCTAAAGGAGCAATGAAAGGATGTCTCTTTCTTATAAAATCATTCCCTGCTAGCAAAGTAGAAAACTTTGTTATAATTACTATCCATTCTCTCCTAATAACCCAGGCCTTTATGGTTACTTTCTTATAATCTAGCATCTTCCACTCTCACTCAGACCTACTTCCTTCTTCTTATCCCACTTAAAATTTCTACTCCCTGAAGAGTCATCAGTACTTAGCTCCCTGTCAGTCCTACAACTAAAATATTCAAATTGAATTATAAAGCTTGTGACCTCAATGAGCCCTTCATTAGTCATTGTGTGAGGGTATACTTAGTGTGTGAGAGGTGTGGGAGGAAGGGGAGCTGGACTTCAATACACATCTGTTCTTGTAATCAGACAAAAGCTCAGAAATAGCCTGAGGAGCCTCTGAAATAAAGCCCCTTGAAGTAAGGAAGCATCAGTCATTTTGCTATAACTAAGATCCCCTGGTAGAAAGAGGAGCCAACATGAAGAGTTTTCTAAGGTAGGGTCAAAGTGAAATGCATATATATGTGTGTGTTTGTATTTGTGTCCCCATGGATGGGTGCACACATGCATGTGCTGTTAAAGTCCTATCCTTAGGAATAAAAACTAAAATATTGATCTAATAGGCTTTCAGTTACCACCTGGAAATGTTTGGGACTTCCTAATTAGGGAGCAGGATTATAAAAACTACATAAAATGTAAGAATCACTCAAATGCCTCTTAAAAAGACAGAAACGAAAACAAAAAACTACATAATTACTCCATGTTTGCTATGTTTTCCACAAAGGTTACCAGTAGATTTCTAAATTAAATACAAAGTACCAAAAAGCTTATCTTTAAGAGCAACAAGGGTGGAAGCTGGGCATTTTAGTCCATTCCATTGCTAGGTTTGCGGAGGAGAAGTATGGACCTCAACCAATAGAGTAGTGGTGGTAGCTTTTACAAGGAATAAAGGACAAAATGAATGTCAAGCATTTTCTGCATGGAATCTGGTTTGTTTTTTTTTTAATTGATTTATGATAGTCACACAGAGATAGAGAGGTAGAGACACAGGCAGAGGGAGAAGCAGGCTCCATGCACCGGGAGCCTGACATGGGATTCGATCTTGGGTCTCCAGGATTGCACCCTGGGCCAAAGGCAGGCGCCAAACCGCTGCACCACCCAGGGATCCCTCTGGTTTGGGTTTGAAAGGGATCTTTAGCCATCAAAATACTTAGGTGATGGCCTGAAATCACCACCACCCCCACTGCCACACTTACTTAGTTTTACAATGGTATAAATAGAAAAATCTTTAAACTTGGTTCACATATATATTTAGGTTGGAGAAAGTCCTTTGGTCTCATTTGGCTCATGAAAATGAAATTGATGCTTACGGAATCAAAAGAGTCAGAGGCCTATCAAGAATCTGATGGAGTCTGTGGCCCTCTTCACAGAAAAGTGCATACACAGATTTTGTGTAGAATTTCAGAGAGGCTATTGGAGGCCTGGTTAAGATATTTCCCCACCTAGGGAGAAGCAGTGGGTTCACATAATAAGACTGTAAAGGTTTCAAATGACCAATCCTCATAGGAAATGGGACCTCACGGATGCCCCAGGATACCTCACCCCCACTCCCGCACCTTTCAGCTGCTTTGGATGGTAGGTACTATCTCCACTAGTTGCTAGTAGTGATCTGAAATTCAGACACAACAATATTGGCCAAGTGCCTTCCACCCTGAGTGTGCCCAAGGCCACACATTAAAAGAAAATTTCAAGCAGAATTAGTTGATGTCTTTCTCCATGAATCACTCTGATCTGTAAGATCTCTGATGCCCAAAGAGATCTCTGATCCACACACTGCTTCTGTTGCTAGTTTCTTTCATTCATGACCCTAACCACTGATTTTTCCTTAGAAATTTTAAGTGAATTTTTATTATTTTCTTTATGACTATAATACATATTTTTGATCCAGTGCACACAAAAGGTATTTCAGCAGCTTTAATGCTTTCCCCCTCAGTAACATTGACATGATATTAGGACAGTTTCCTAGAATCTGCACCATCATTTCCAACTCAGCCTCTCCTCCATTTTTAAGACAAGCGCAGTTGGGTTTTCCTATTATCATCACAGTTCCATTCTTGAGTCTGTTTTCACTTCCTCAGTTGGAGATTCCTTTTCAGGGCTTAACTTTCCACCATCTTCATCAGGTAATACTGTAGTCACTGGACCAACCCCCAGCCTTGACTTCTCTGTGGGAATCGCACTGACATTTCGATCAAGGGAAGGAAAGCTGAAAGTCATGTAGTTGAGGAAGGAGATGATCCCTAGAGGAGAAGAATTTGAGGTCAGTTTCAGTAGATAGATAGTCTTTGGACTTTTAAATTTTTTACTCATGCTTCCTTCAGTTCTAAAGACCTCTTTTCAGTGAAGCCAACCCTCCACTCTCCCAGCAGTTGCTTTACCCTCCAATGCTTCCATTTCATTATAGTATTTCTCACATGGTGAGGACAAAGCTTGAACCTCCTGGATTCAAATGATATTTCTGTGACTTTCTATGTGGTTTTAGACAAGTCTCTCAACCTATGCACACCTCAGTTAATGGTAGAATAGATTGCTAAATCTAAGCTTCAAGACTCCAAAATCCATGCTTTCTTCACCATACCATGCTGCTTCTCCATATATGAATGTTCTAAATAGGAACAGTTAGTGCCTCTATTTCTCCTAGACTCTACCTCCCTTTTAAGAAGTGACTTCCTCTTCCATCTTTCTAGCATAAGGCAGGGGACTGACTCACCAGAAAACATGTATAAGAAGTCACTCCACCAATTAATATGATAGGTCCAGAGGAGATCTGGCTCCAAGGCATCCTTAGCATGCCAGTAAACCTGTGCCAGAAATAGGACGAGGCAGAGGAGCAAGGAGATGGCTAGGACCAGAAGAAAAGATGTTACAACCCATCAGTATCTTCCCTCTGCCTTGACCATCATCCCCAACTCTTCTTCTGCTTCCAGATGCCATATGTATGGCAGGATTAAAATTTAGGGATTAACCAAGACGGGAAAGAGAAAGTGGCCTCTACCTCTCCCCTGGGCTAAATGAGCTGAAGTGTATTTTATACAGTAAGGTAGGGCAGGCAGCTAGCCACCTGATGTGATAGTGAAGAAGAGGAAAAGAACAAGAAAAAGAGGATGAAAGCCCCATGGACAACTTGGTTCCCTTGACAATTTCACCCTGGTAGTACCCTGCCAATCTAGGTCTGTACCTGAGATGAAGCTGAGTATGGATACCTTCAGATCCAAGTTGGTGGTTATGCTTCCTCTTCTAGACAGGCAAGAACTGATGAGCCAGACAAGGGCAACAAGTGTGGCAAAGACAGAGATGAGGAAGAAAGCTCTGGAAAACTGAAGGTAATCTGCCAAGGAGAATGAGAAAGGGAAGGCTTGGTTAGTCCAGCAGGGGACCTCTCTTAAGAAAACCAAACAGAGTCTTAGAGAAGAGCATGAGGACTAAAGAGGATGAAGCAGAGCTTGACGTGTGGCATCCAGGGCACATATAAATATCTTATTTCCCAGCTTTTCATTGATAGTTGGAATTTATTTACTGTGAAGGCAAAGCCTTCACTGTAAAACTGAAGAGAATATACAGATAGTTTTGGATGCATTAACACATTTAACTCAGTTGTAAACTAGCCTATAAGACTTTAACATCACAACACAGATTAAAACATTTCCTTGTTCCTAATTCTAATTCTAAAAGTAATACATATTCAATATAAGCATTGGAAAAGCAAGAAAAGTACCAAGAAGCAGGGGAAAGTACCCAGAGGCAGCTACTGTTAGCCTTTTATATTATTTCTTCCCAGTATTTTTCTATCCTCTATACATAGCGAATATGATACTGAGTATCAAGTGAATTTTTTCTTAAGATTGTATGATGAGGGCACTTGGCTTGTTCAGTGGTTGAGCAACTGCCTTCAGTTCAGGGCATGATCCCGGGGTCCTGGGATTAAGTCTCACACTGGGCTCCCCTCAGGGAGCCTACTTCTGCTTCTGCCTGTGTCTTTGCCTCTCTGTGTGTCTCTCATGAATAAATAATAAAGTCTTTTAAAAAAAGATTATATGATGAGATTTTTTCCCCAAATTACCTGTTGTAAATACAATTTTTAATGGCTACCAGTTTACTATATTAACATATTTTGCTTAATGATTTAACCATTGTTGGACTTGTAGTTTGTTTCTATTTGTTTTTTCTCTTTCAATATATCTGGCGTGCATACGCTTTGCCAACCTGTGGCTACAAAATCAAGTCCCATCTACTTAAACTCCCACATTGTTATGATTTCAAGCCTGAGTTTACCGGATTGCAGGAATTTAATACCCTAAAAATATATTCTATTTGTTTGTTTGTTTGTTTGTTTCCTGAGAGTCCCTCAAGGCTCTGCCTCACATTTGCTCAGGGAGATGTCTTCTAATGTTCTTTAGCTCTAAAGCCCTTACCCAAGTACCATAACACTGCTTCTTCCCTCATCTCCTGGCTCAAGATCTCTGCTCTCTGCAGATTGGATGTTGGTAAGAGAGAAGAGGCATGCTAAAAATTACTTTTTGCTACCATCTGCAAAACATATCCTTCCCTTGACTTCCACAGCAATTCTTTAAGATATAAGCACCCCAATGTCCAGAGCAGCATTATCTACAATAGCCAAATTATGGCAACAGCCCATGTCCATCAGCTGATAAATGGATAAAGAAGACTATATATACATATATGTAAATATAAAATATAGTGGAATATTACTCAGCCATAAAAAACAATGAAATTTTGCCATCTGCAATTGCATGGATGGAGCTAGAGAGTACCATGTTAAGCAAAAAAGTCAGTCAGGAAAAGAGAAATACTATATGATTTCACTCATATGTGGAACTGAAGAGACAAATAAGCAAACAGAAAAAGAGAAAGAAAGAGGCAAACCAAGAAATGGACTCTTAACTCTATAGAACAAACCGATGGTTACTAGAGAGGAGGTAGGTGGGGGGATGGGTGAAATAGGTGATGGGAATTAAGGAGTGCAATTGTTGTAATGTATGGAAGTGCTGAATCACTATATTGTACACCTGAAACTAATATAACACTGTATGTTAACTAACTGGAATTTAAAACCTTAAAAAAAGAAATAAAGAATAATACACAACTGCAAGTAAATATAGCTCTTCTGAGATGCCACAGATCCTGCAGTCTCTTCAATACCATTTGCTTCGACGTGGATGGAACTGGAGGGTATGATGTTGAGTGAAGTAAGTCAATCGGAGAAGGACAAACATTATATGGTCTCATTCATTTGGGGGGAATATAAAAAATAGCGAAAGGGAATAAAGGGGAAAGGAGAAAAAAATGAGTGGGAAATATCAGAGAGGGAGACAGAACCTGAAAGACCCCTAACTCTGGGAAACGAACTAGGGGTAGTGGAAGGGGAGGTGGGCGGGGGGTTGGGGTGACTGGATGATGGGCCCTGAGGGGGGCACTTGACGGGATGAGCACTGAGTGATATGCTATATGTTGGCAAATTGAACTCCAATAAAAAATTAAAAAAATATATCCTTTAGAGGGTGCCTCCTAGTCTAGCTTTTTTCCTGTTTCAAGGTAGCAGGGGCCAACTCATCTCTACCACTGAAAATTCTCTAAGCACTTCCATGACTGAGATTCCAGTTCAGCTTCCAAGTAACCCAGAGAGAAGAAATTATGTCAAAGCCTATCCCAGTTTAAAATCTGCCTCTTAAGTCTTATTTTGTTCTCTAGAACTGACCACTTTCTAACATCACCAATAATATTAAAGCCTCTGAAGAGAAACCACACGCCTACCCACAGAGGTGAGTTGTCCTGTGGTCCAAACAAGTTAACCACATTAAAACACGATAACCCAAGAGCAACGTATTTCCTGAAACCTTGGTCATTCAGAATTAGCAGGATGTGTAGCCAGTTAGAACCATCAGCTCGCACTGAGCTTCATGAAGCCCAGTGTGATAGGTATCGTTCCTGGTATTTAGCCCACAATCCCCCACAGGACCTAGCAGCCCTTGCCTATAGTCCTGGACCTTTGCTTGTAGTCCCTTGATTAGAGCTAATTGGAAGAGGGAAGATCTGACCCATGTTGGACCAATTTTATTCTTATGCTTGGAAATTTGGATTCAAGACTGATTGATGCTCTTTTGTTTGCTTGAACCAAGAAGATACAAAGCTAGACTGGGATATCACTTTTTGAGTACTTGCATACTAATAAATAGGAAAACTGAGCAGAAGTGATGAAATATAAACAAAAATGAACTATAAAGCAACTGTAGAGTAACTGAGTGGCAGGCTTGATTTTCTTTGACTGAGATCTCTCAAGGTACAACAAACTTCTTGCCTTTGGGAATCCCTGAGATTCTTCTGAATCATTACAAATAGATTCACTCTTTAGTTTGTGCTAGTTCAAATGAAATAAAACACATAAATGTACAAAGATATGGATATCCAAGTCCTATCTAAGATATGTTACAGTCCAGTCTTTCTTTCACCATGATGGGAAGATTTGCCTTCATGTTCTTACAATCTTCTCTGTCTTAGTGACTCATCTCCTGAAATTACACAAACAAGAGCACTCACAATCCAAAGGAACAACTAAAGGTTTGCAGCATAGGATAGTCTCACCTCCAAAGGAAGCAAGTCTGCTAGTCATAGTCATACACAATTTATTATCTGACCAAACTAAACACTTAGCCCCATAGTATAAAATGATGGCATTTGGTTAATGTCATAGTTTTTTTTTCTAAATAATTGAACAAGACAAAACAAGCTTCCCAAAGCTGAGTTTGAGCCTCTATCTCCTGTAAGATCAAAGGCTATTTCACCTTTTACATGTCAGCTTTTACAGCAGCTTACTTGTCAAAGTTTCAAAGATCCTAGGACCTATGTTAGGTCTTAGGCCTGACGAGGCTCTGCTTGTCAGTAAGAAGCTTTGGTCCAGGAAAAGAGAAGTGCCCTAGATACAAGGAACGCCCACATGGGTCACCTATATCCAAACATTTCTGAAGATTTCCTTAGTAATATTTGGTGTGGCCTCCAGTTGGAGGAATAGCAAGGCAAACATCCCAGTTTACTGAAAGCCATGAAGCTAATGGCCTGGAAGAGAGAAGATATGACTCAATTTGGAGAGGAAGAAGTCCAAATCATTTGAAAAGTTTGGTAAGATCCTTAGTAGTGTTCTCGGGGTCATCCCAGTCAGTGATTCTATACCTCAGAGCACCATCAGGTGGGACATAAAAGCGACTGAGGCTGGAAGGGATACTACCCTACCAGAAAACAGTAATGATTCTCAGTGGATTGAACATTCATCACTTGGCAGTTTGTAATTGGTGGGCAAGATCTCCTTCTACTGTTATGAAAGTAAAACTTTGTCCTGGAAGTTTTGGACAGTGACGGGCAGGGCTAGAAGTCACCTTGCTCTTGTGAACAAATAAGCTTAGTTAACAATAGATATTCTTTTCTTTTACAGCTGTTGACACCCTGGAAGGAATCAGTGGGTGAAGCCAAGTGACATGAGAAGAAAGAAGCATAGGAGAGGATCCAGCCATAGGAAGAGCTAAGCACCTGATACTCAGGGGTCCCAAAGAGACTTGGGAGTGGGATTCCTCTCACTGTACCCCAGGTCCTTCAGCAAAAATCAAAGCCAGGATAGGAGGGCAGTGCTTCACAAGGATCTAGCTCCTTTGAATTATGAAGGAGCTAGACCGAGTGAGTTGAGGTGAGGTGTGGATATGGATTTAGAAAATGAAGAAGGTGCTGCTGAGGGATTGGCTCACTTATTTAGCCAAATCTAAACTTCCGTGCTGTTGCCACTGCACCTTCGTTCCAGCCACATAAGGCCGAGACAAACCTCTCCAGGCTCATGGAAGAGGCGGTGGTTTGGGAATGGAAAAGATCCTGGATGGAGACCTAGAACCCTAGAGAGGAGGCTGTGAAATCAGCCTAGGATTTAGGATCCCTGGTAACCCAGTTAGAGTGCCAGAGTTAAGCATCCCTATGCAACTTGGCTGTATTTCTCATGCAGTGGCTTCCACTGGAGGCTCCAGTGCTCCGACTAAAAGACCTACTCTTCTTCCCCACAGTCTCCAGGCAGTTCAAGTTACTCTGTGCAGCAATACATTCCTTTACACCATGGTCTGATCTCACCCATGCTACAGGGGAGTTAACAGAAGGGGCTGTTCCACTCTTGAGACCTAGCAATAAAAGTGAAGGATGGGGTCTGCTACTCCCCACTCCTCCATTTCATTAGCAACAGCCACAGCAGAGAGGCTCTCAGTCATCTTGAATGAGGTGAAGGCAGAGGCCAAGCAGAGAGGCTCAATGGCCTAATGTGAGTTCAGGACAGAGAATCATGAGCATACACATTATTGAATCCACCTGAGAGAGTCCCCATGAAACTCTCAGAAATGACAAGGGGTACCATGGGAAAGGGGGCTAAATAGGTAAAAAGTTTAAAGTTCTTGAATTTGGACAATAATAACATACTGTCACAGGTTGATGAGGTCATAGACACCTGACTTATAATTGAATACTTAGAGGACTCAGTTGACCTTCTCTAAATCATTAACAGTTGGCCTCTTAGGTGAATTGCAGGCCCCAAGAAAGAAACTATTTGCTACTATTAAGTGACAAAATTCCAAGATTCTGACTCACTAGATATTTAAATAATAATCCCAAGTCATGAATTTTAGGTTGGGGACAATTACATAAATATGACTGCAGTTTAATTTTTATATCTGTATCTTTAATTCCATTTCCCTAGAAATGGAATTTGTGAGTGTAAATCTCTGGATACCCATAATCATATTGCTTTAGTTATACCCATTTACATGGTGCTCAGTGTATATGAGGGTGTCTGGCGTTGTGCATTATCATTTTAAAAACTCTGCTAATGTCATGTTTGAAAAATCTTGTCTCACTGTTCGTTTGGTTTGCCTTTCTTTAGTGACTGATTAAGGTTAAAACAGTTTTTTCTTACATTTATTAGACATTTTTAGTTTCTGTTCTGTGAACTATCAAGAATTTATAATAAATAAGGGTATTTGCCTTTTTTATTAATGTTTTTTTAAATATTAAGGCTGTTAGTCTTTTATTTTTCTTATTTGTTGCAAATATTTTCCCTAGTTTTTCTCTTAAGTTGAAGATGCAGTTGAATTGTCGGCCTGCCTTTGTTTTTAGTTTCTTCCCAAGATCTGTATTAGGGTCCTGCCCCTTAATTCCATATGCCATAGGTGCTCCAGCTTAGGGTCGAGCCTCAGTGCAACCCCCAACCCCACTTCCAGCATCTGGGGCCCTTGCTTATCTGAGAAAAAGAAATAAATGCTTTATTACATGCATTTTTTCTTTCACAATACCTGTTTCTCCGTGTAAATGTATCTTTTGTGGATGATGGGGAAACTGTTTAGCGTAGTTATGTCTTTCCTCGAAGTCTTGGTCCTGATTGAAAAAAACTCATGCATATGGTATCTTCTAGCCCCAGAAAATTTTTTTTTCAGAAACTTATTTGTAAATGTATTATTTATGCATTTAAAATACTTATTTGTATTGCATTTTCAGATTTACCTAAATGCATTATTATACATTTAAAATACTTATTTGTATTGCATTTTCAGATTTACCTAAATTCACATAAAATTCGACGTTAAGAATTTACTCTAAGTAGCTGACATTTTTATAACATCTGTCTGACATGCATTTACATTCTCTTCAACTATTAGCCAAAGAATAAGTTGACCTTAAAAGTTAAATCTGGGGCAGCCCAGGTGGCGCAGCGGTTTAGCGCTGCCTTCGGCCCAGGGCGTGATCCTGGAGACCCGGAATCGAGTCCCAAGTTGGTCTCCCTGCATGGAGCCTGCTTTTCCCTCTGCCTGTGTCTCTGCCTCTCTCTGTCTCTCTCTCTTTCTCATGAATAAATAAATAAAATCTTAAAAAAAATAAAATAAAGTTAAATCTGATAGAGGCTGAGACACTTTGCTTTGTTTCCCAGTTCTGATCAATTACTTCTATTTCTGCAAGCCACATTAGAATACTAATCACAATGCTTCACAGTGACAGCTTATAAAGGCCCAACCAGTTCTTATCAGAAAGTAAAAAACTACTAATCTGGGAGATGAAACAACCAAGAAATGGTGGGGGTGGGGGAAAAAAGGTACACTGAGAACACCAAAGAAAAGCATGGCTATATTCACAATTTGGCTGAGATCCATCACTTCTCATGGAGAGGTGAGGGCAAAGAGATCTTGGAGGAAGAAAGATGAAGAGCCTATATGGCAGAAAGCTCTGGAACTGTGGGACCTGTGGTGTTTAGTTTGGTGGCACTCACAGGGTGACTTGGGTGTGTGGCTCCAGCACAGCTCATGGTTGCATGTGATCCAGAGTCCTGCGTAGAGCTCAAGGCCATTCTTGATCACCAGGAACTGCACCCAGTTCAGTGAGGATGTGCAGGTCAGCATTAGGAGACCAAAACCACACAGGCTGCCACAGAACATTCGGATGTAGATGTGTATCTGATCCACATGCTGCTGCTGCCTCTGGGGTGGCATCGAGTCACTCGGATGTTGGTTGATGGGGAGGGTAGGCTACAAGGATGAGGGAAATATTGCCGCCCAGAAAGACCCTTGATCCCCAGGGTCTCTTATTCATCTCTACCTTAAGCATCCCGTGTGGGTTTGATCTGTGGATGTCTGTCCCTACCCAGGGTGATCTCTTCTCTATCTCTAGAACACTGTCTAGGCCCACCTTTAAGTAAGTCCTCTTCCTCCCATCTGACCTAATTGTAATTAGGTACCTCCTTACCCTTTGGTAGTTCCGGTTCCCCTTAAGTTTGGGAACCTTAGGATTATAGAAGGTCAAGACTAATTGTTCCCTCTTCTCCATCTTGGCAGCCAGCTCGCTTTCTAACTGCCACGGAATTTGTCTCAGCCCCTCTCACACGTGCTGGCAGGACCAAAAGGGGCCAGATCCCATGGCCCAGATTCCATTTCTGTTTCATATTTTGGGTCTAATCAGATCAGGAACAAATCATCACATTTAATCAGGTGGGATGCTCCCCGCCTCCCTTCTCTGACTCCTTTCAACTCCCTCATTTAAATAAATCCATAAATACCTTGTCAGCAGTTGCTGTGTCAGGCTTTGTGTTAGGTCTGGGGGTATAAAGATGAATGAAACACAGCTCCCTAATGGCAAATAAAAAAGCTAACCGGATGTCTTCAGGACTCAATAGCTTGTGGTTAGAATTCAAGATTGCCAGTAGTCTGGATGGAATTCCCGCTCTTGCTCCAACGCCAGGTGGAAGGCTCCAGGTAAGTCTCCGCAGGCTCAGGAACCAATCTGCCAGCCACAGTTCGGCATGCAGCATCCGCCCTCTGCTTCCTTTCTTGCTCCATTTCCCTCTGCTCGTGAAGCCATCCCAGGCTGTTAGGCCCCTGGCCCTGCCAGTGCCCACGGGGCCCACTGCAAAGGTGCCAGGACCCCAGCGCAGGCGGCTGCCAGCCAGGGTGCTGAAAGCTACCATTCACGATAACGCAGCAGGGTCGGGTTCTGTGTGGAAGCGAGGAGAATGGCCTTTCCCTGGTTCCACAGCCAGCACAGCTTGTGCCCAGACCAGCTCCAAGTCTCCTTTTCAAACAACTCTCTCAGCGTTGGTCCTCACTCCTCCTCCCACAAGGGCTCAAAATTAGTCCAAGATGCTGAACAGATGCCATCCTGTTCCACATCACGGACATTTATTCCAATAAATGCCCAGCTGCGTTGCCAGCTCTTGTTTTCCATGAACAGATAAACTCTGATTCCTAAATTTGGGCTGAATCAGAATTCCCTATCACACTCTTCTCCTAGCCTACCCTCTCCTGGCCTGCCCCAACCTGTCGAAACCTATACTTTATGTCATCTGGTGGGAACAACCGGCAGTCAGTGAGTTTATGTCCCTGCCTTAGCGTGAAGTCCGCTTTCTCCAGAAGGGTTATTTGACTCTCGGTTTCCCAGTACTTAGCCTAGTGCCTGGAAAGAATAGTATTTAGTGTTAAGTGAATGAAAGGGCAATATATTTTTCTATAAAGGACAGAGGCTGGTACAGAGGACAGAATAGTTGATATTGTCAGAGGAAAATTAGGGGAGGCCTACTGGAAGAGGTGATGTATTGGCTGGATTTCAAAAGAATTTTCCAGGTAATAGAGGTGACAGGGCATTTGAGGTGAGGATAATAGTATGTCTCAAGGCAGGAAGCCATGGACAGCACGGGGCACTAGAAGCAGTGTGGTTCTACTAGGTATAAACCCAAAGTGGGGGCAGCCTGGGTGGCTCAGCAGTTTAGCGCCACCTTCAGCCCAGGGCCGGATCCTGGAGACCTGGGATTGAGTCCCACATCGGGCTCCCTGCATGGTGCCTGCTTCTCCCTCTGCCTGGGTCTCTGCCTCTCTGTCTCTCTCTGTCTCTCATGAATAAATAAATAAGAATCTTAAAAAAACAAACAAACTCAAAGTGGGAGGTTGAGGGTTGCAGATATAGGTTGCAGATACAGGCCAGAACTAGATCAAAAGAGTCCTTTAGGCCACGCTATGCAAATAAATTGTAAAGTTTCAATTAATGTAATACGCTCGCACTATTGGCATGGTGATAGGAAAAACTGTTCCATCTATAGCAAACTGGCTTGTATGGCATGACTATTAGATGCATTTGCATGCTTAATGAGCGAGACACAGGCATTGAATACACAGGCCTGCTTTTCAATCCCCGTTCTAGCACTTACTTAGTTCCAACACTCACTGGCTGGGTTCCTTGGGGACAATTTCCTTAACCTCACTAAACATCAGTTTCTTCATGTCTAAAACTGGGTCAATAATTATTCCTGTCTCATAAAATTTTGTGAGCATTAAATGAGATAACATGCATAAAACTCTTAGCACAGTGTCTTAATATGTGCTCAGTAAATACTATTACTTTTTAAATTTATTTTATTATTTTAAAGATCTTATTTATTCATCTGAGACAGAGGGATACCGAGAGAGAGAGAGCATGAGGAGGAGGAGAGGAAGAAGGAGGAGAAGCAGATTCCCCACTGAGCCAGGAGCCAGATGTGTGGCTCAACGCCAGGACCCTGAGATCATGACCTGAGCCAAAGGCAGATGCTTAACCATCTGAGCCACCCAGGCACCCCCTTTAATTTTTTTATGTTTATTTATTTTTATAATAATCTCTACACCCAATGTGGGGCTCAAACTCATGACCTTGGGATAAAGAGTCGCATGCTCTCTTGACTGAGCCAGCTAGGCATCCCTTATTATTATTTTTTAAACTGTCTTCCCAAGTTTGCTTGAGCATGACCTTGGCACAGGCCACGCTGAGACAGGTGGAATACTAATGTTGATGGTTAGAACATGTCACCCCTGCCTGGTTCACCAGTAGCACTGAACCGGAACACTTCCAAAGAGATGAAATTGATGCAATGTGGGCTAACAGGTCATTTTGTGAACAGTGGTAAATGATGCAACTCTCCAGGGATTGAAGGAACAGGTCAGACGCCGCTGGACTGTCAGGCCGACTGAAAGGTAGGATGCTCTGGCGAGCTGGGAACTTGCTGGGGCCTGCATGCCTATGACAAAACAAGCATTTGTCCTTAACTGGTGGCTGGGTATGTTGCCATTTCCCTACTTTATTTTTTCCTACTTTCTTTTCTTTTTTTAAGATTTATTTATTTATTCTATCACAGACATAGAGAGAGAGAGAGAAGCAGAGACATAGGAAGAGGGAGAAGCCAGTTCCCTGCAGGGAGCCCCATGCAGGACTTCATCCTGGATCCCAGATCCCAGGATCAAAGCTCAACCACTGAGCCACCCAAGAGTCCCACCATTTCCCCCACTTTAAAAAGCAGTTTGGGGTCCCCCACCTGTGTGGCAGCCACTGTCCTGGAGCCTGCGGGGTCCAGGAGGGGCATGGCTGAAACCGGTGGAACTTGAGCCTCTAGCATCAGCTTGACACAACGTGGAGCTGCTGCAGAAACCAGATTATGGGGGCTATTTATGCTCCCACACCCTCCCTGCAGAACCCTGGAGCTCTGCTCTTGCACTGATGCCCTTCGATGTGGAACTGGCTCAGGCTGGTTAAGGACTCAGACTCTCAGAAAACAATGGGACTGATGTGAATGCAGTTTTGGAAAAACATGTGGATGGTGTATAGTGTAACATTCCACCACAGTAGCCAGTGGCCAGTGAACTCGGGGAGGCACCAGCAGAGGCAGGCCCCACTCCTGGGCCCCAGACTGACCTCACAGAGCCCCAGGGTGAATGAAAAGTCAGATCCCCATCACAGGGGACTTAGAAGAAAAAGTGACTGGCAAGCTGCTATCAAAAGATATACTCTGACCAAAATATGGCTTATGAAAACCATTGGTAGAGGAGACAAAATTCGGATGACAAAACATATCATAACATCCAAGAACTGAAAAATTATGCTGAAAATGCACAAAACTCTCTCTTCATTTAACACTGGAAGTATGGGGTAAAAAGGAACTTCTTACAGACCATGCCCACGTCACACTGGAAAAGCACAGGGCATTGTCACATGCTTGAGAACAATGCCCTATCATGGTAGCAGAAGAAGGGTGTTCCTTCCCTTGGATATTTGCATGTTTGACAAACACAATACATGGTGTTTCTCTGGAAGAACCAAGATATAAATCTGGGAGATGAAATATTTATGTCCTTGCTGGCCCAGCATACTGGGCACTTAAAGCATGCTAGACCTTTCGACAAAAGTGTTCTCATGAAAATATTTCCTGCTTTTTTTTGAGTTGCTCTGGAGGACTGCTTAAAGAAAGTTCAACAGGGATCCCTGGGTGGCGCAGCGGTTTGGTGCCTGCCTTTGGCCCAGGGCGCGATCCTGGAGACCCGGGATCGAATCCCACGTCAGGCTCCCGGTGCATGGAGCCTGCTTCTCCCTCTGCCTGTGTCTCTGCCTCTCTCTCTCTCTCTGTATGACTATCGTAAATAAAAAAAAAAAAAGATTTAAAACCTGAAAAAAAAAGAAAGTTCAACAAAGAATTTTTATATATTCCATCCATCTTCACAGCAGAAGAATGCTTCCATTACTTCCATTATCTGTGTATGTTTCATCATGAAGAAAAAGGACTCAAAATAACTTCATAACTTTGAAAAAAAGCAGTGTTGTTAGGAGAAAACAGAGTTATATGTTTGTGACTTTGTAGTAAGCCAAGAATTGTTTTTATTTTTTATTTTTTAAAAGAGTTCATGTATTTATTTGATAGAAAGTGAGACAGAGCATAAGCAGTGGGGAGCAAAAAGGGGAGAGGAAGAAGCAGACTCCTCAATGAGCAGGGAGCCCCATTCAGGGCTTGATCCCAGGACCCCAGGATCACGACCTGAGCTGAAGGCAGACACTTCACCGACTGAGCCACCCAGGCGCCCTCAAGAATTTTTTTTAAACAGAACTTCTGTTCACTAGAAGACACCACTGAGAACGTAAAGAGGCAATCCAGAGTGGGGTAAAATCTTTTCAATATGTGTATCTAATAAAAAAAAACTCATAGTAGGAATATATAAAGAACATTTACAAATCAATGAGAGAGACAACCCAATAGAAAAAGGAGCAAAGTCCTTGATTGACATTTTGCCGGATATGACAATGGCCAATAAACATACAAAAAGGTGCTCAGAAAACAAAACAAAACAAAACAAAAAATAAAAAGGTGCTCAGGGTAATTTATTAGTCATGAGGGAAAAGCAAATTTAAACTATAACGCACTGGGACACCTGGGAATTTTGGATTGGCTTAACAATGAATGACTTTTGAGATACATGATTCTTAATAAGAATAGAGTAGTAGTTATGATTGTGCCTTGATTAAAATGGTGGTACTACTTG